GAAGTAAGAAAGATTACGATCTCGGCTGAAAGGCAATTTTCGTTGCGAGCTTCAAGCGTAAGAGTTTTAATTGACTATTTCCCACCATGCTAATTTCGTAATGAAATTAACGAAATCAAATTGTAACCCATCGATAACTAATAAACTACGAGCCAACTTGACAGAACTAAAACAAAGGTGAAACATTTCCTCAATATCCAAAGTCACTATTAATTATAAATGCTAAAGTTCAAAATTCCAACAAAAAGAAGTTTTTAATCTCGAGAGATTTATAAAAATCGGACAGCTTTTCTCCTGGCCGTCAATAACCAAAAAAGCAAACATCTGATTTTTCAAATTTGATTTAGTAGTAAAATTGAAACAAATTCGGAACAGACTGGAAGATTATAATATTTATGAGAAAAATCCTTATTTAAAAATTCCAATTCTATTTCGGTATTTCCGAGTTAATACCGACAGGAGTAGGTGGAAGAAGTGTCGAAATCCCCAATATTTGATTAATCCTTGGCGCGAGTACACTTTGAGTGAGAATTATCCCCTTCTGATGGAGCAATATTGAGTTATTGCAACCCTCATATAGCAATATTTTTCAATTACAAACGAGTCTGTTATTGAGGACTCTATTTCAATAGGTTTCTCGTGACTAAATTAGGTGTATTCGACAACAAAATTTCACTTCCGGTTACAGATTCGATTAAATTTCAACAAAGTATTAAATCCTAGTCTAGTCTAGTATTTTTATAAAAATTTACTCTATAGATTTTAAGTTAGCGAAACCTTGTAATTTCAATCAAGATGAACATTGGCTTTCGATGAATTGTTTTGCTTGTGTCAAGCCAAAATAAACGAATTTTGTGTTGTTTTTCTTTATAAGCCATTGTTCGAATAAAACACAAACATCGTAAATCCTTATTTATTGATATAGCGAAGTCTTGAGGTTTTTTTTGAGAGAGATTCACTTTGAAATTCCCTTGCACGGAAAGAACCAAAAGCATAAACATTTTAAGATATCTTGCGCTATTCTATTTTCAAAAATACGCTAAAATCCACTCTAAGCAACATTTTAATTAAAATACAGTGTTGAGTTTTTCCGTAATTCATCCTAGACGTTTATTTACTTTTATCACAAACAATAATATAACTCGAAAACAGAACTGTTATAAATTCAGTTATCTATTTTCTTGGTCCTGTTTCCGTGCACACATCATATTTTAAGGAAAACGTTATCTCCATATAGAATTTTATTCTCATTGATACATTGCGTTCGACTAGAATTAGGACAATATTTGTAAAATGTCTTTTTTCATGTTGGAGGCAAATATTTTATTTTGAAGAAAAGAAGCAGCACTTCTCACGAACGCAATATCCCGGAATGAGTTCAATTGTGTTGTAGTAGTCCATCAAAAGGGTAACATTTAAGTGAGTTTCTGTGTTTGTAGAATAATTAAAAATTTGGGCGAGTGAAAAACGCCGAGTAGGTTTTAAAAAGTCCGATTAATTGTTTTGTTTGTCACCAGTTATTACGAATCCCTGATTTAAAAAGCAATGATGCGTATCAACTGCAATAATAGTGGTAATATTTACATGAAGTAACATTGATGGACTATTAAGAGAATTTGACCTGTGGCAATTAGAGATTAATATTAAACCGATGTTGAACGTGTCGAGGTGAAAATCCATAGTCGATGTTAGCGTATCACTTTTGAATCCGACTCGTCAAAATCAATAAACTGAAATTGTAAAGACACTAATGTGCAACTGTTTTAGGCGTTGTTAGTGTTTTAAAACTCGATGTAAACTCTTTCAATCTGTTTTAGATTACTTTTCAGTGCGTCTTCAATTTTGTTACGAGTGAGGATGGCTTTGGATGATCCAAGATCTCAACAAAATGATCGAGAAATCCCAGGCCTCTTACATTTTAGACACTATTACAAAGCTATTATTTTCAGTTGAGTTGTTTACAAAATTTACTCTATAATATAAATTGTCCCCGTTTTATTTTTTATTACGTCGTAATCCCCTTTTACATCCCAGCATAATCAAGTTCATACGAAATGCACATCAGCAATAATTCACAAACTTTGTTGGCCATCCCAGAATAGAACAAACCACAACCGTGTATGTATCTTTAATACTAATAGCTTAGTAGTCACGCCCATACCCACGCCGAGTTAAAAAAAACTTGACATCGCGGGACTAAATCAAATAAATAATTTTTCTATTAATTCAAGTTTGTTTTTATTTCGTTCCGCTGCTTTTAACCCTTCGTTTTTCTCCGGTGTCTTTCGTTTTATATCTTTATTTTTATCGTAAATCCAACCGTTCTGAAGTTGTAAGCTCGAAATTGTCGGCATTCGGGTCGAAGCCGGATCTTTCCGGGTGTTTCGTGCATAGAACTCGGCGGTATGGTCGTGGTTAATGCTAGAGAGAACTCTACGTTCGATTTTTTACAAAATGCCGCCAGATATCCACGAAACTATGTTGAAACCAGCGAATTTAACTCCTCAGTTTGCAAAAAAGTTAACTCAAAGTTGAAATTTACGAGTAAAATAATGACAACATTACGTTTAATATTTTCCACTTCATAGACGAAGCACTTAGGCATACTCTCAGATCGTAGAACCAGCATAAGCTATATTTTTAGGTCATTGGTTAATCTTTGTGGTCTATGGTTATAAATGGGACAACCCTTAACGTTTACAATAAACCGGAATAATTTATACTGTTTCCCGACATTTTCTACAACACTAACAATTTTAATTATATGTATTATTAAATAAATAATTAAAATGTTCTCTTTGTTTCAACCAGTTTAGAGTTAAAATACATTTGCATCACTCAAAAATCTTTGTACTAAGTACTAAAAGTAATGTATTAGCATACCTAATTAGCTGAATGCAAATTTATAAACAGAAAAGTGCAAAAACTTAGAAAATTATGTTTTCAAACAAAAATTGTTATTATGAAAATCACTAAACAGTTGACAAAATAAAATTGTTCGCTTTTATATTTAATAAGCGTCTCTGAAACCTTAATAATGTGATTTAAAAAAACATAGTTTTTTAAAATACTCCATTCAATCCATTAGTTGATAATGTTCCTGTTTCAATATTTTAACACAATTTTAGCAGAACTAAAAAACTAGGACTGAAATATTCGTCATATAAACAAAAAGTGCTTACATTTAAAATAATAAATACACATCTGTTGAAAAGTAAAATGTCAATTTATTATAATTCTCCAGAGTACTTCCATATGGTCTCTGGTGTTGTTACTAAGTAATCAATTGTTTTAAAATGAGCCTTGAAACTTTTTTCATTAAAACCTTGGTTATCAGAAACATCGTGACAATTAATAAAATTTTCAGCAGGACGGTGCTCAGGGTGGTATAATACGCCTGCTTAAGATTTATTAAACGAGCTTATACAGAGAAATAAGAACTTTGAAAAAGCTAATAAGATATTTCAGAGATGTTACGAATCAAATGAACATTTATAAAATATGGAATCGTTTATCGTTCAAGAGCCTCTACCATTCTTTTCCATTTTCCATATAATTTTTGAATAAATCAATAAATAATGTATCTTTTGAGGATTTATTTCGAAAGATTCTGTGCTCGTCCCGTATTCAGTTGAAAACTGTGGCCATTAAGAACTAAAGAAATTTCTCTTCTTCTTGTGATTACATTCTAATTATAAATTATCTAACGGAATATTAATAAAAAGGTACGATCTTAAGCGAGACAAGACTCTTGTCATTTCCTATTTAATCTTCTTGAAAGATTCCCTGTTCTAACAATTCGCTTTGAAAGGAAGTAAATACTGTTAGTAAAATTTTTACTGAAATATGATATCGTAAACTGCGCTCAGAAAAAGAATAAATAATTATGATAATTGACTCTTGTAAGAATTTGCGCAAATTCTGCATAATAACAGATAAGTAAAAAAATTTACAAATTAAATCGTGTCCGATAGGTGAAGCTTATTGGTGCTATCTAAACACAAGCTGTCCTGCGAGAGCCCTAACAACTTACAATCTTGTTATACATCACACGCTATCACTTAAAGCACGTAATATATGGTGGTGCAGGAAAAAAACACCACAGAATATAAATTCTGATTAAAATCAACAGCAAAGCTTGTGTTTGAAAGCAACGCAAATGAAGATCACAGATTCGTAAAAAACTAACACACTTGTCATTCTCAAATAAATCCTTCGTTCAATTAACGTTTAAGCGGCTTAAAAACAGCTGAAAGTCGATAGAATAATGGTTATAGGTCGGCGAGACCTATAAAAAAAACTCCAAGCAATTTTAATACATTGTTCGTAAAAAACCGCAGAGATATAGCCATAAAACTTTTACTGGGACCCGAATGGAGGCTCAGCTCACCCATTCCTCGTCGATACTCTTGCCTATATGTTTTAATAATCTCCCCAGCAAAAACCGGACTCTTAATCGCAAGAATCTGAATAAAATTTGGATGCCAGGATTTCCCCTAGTCCCTAAAAATCCGTCAAAATATCCGCTTGAAAATTTTACTGGCTTTTAGGCTGATCCTGAAGATAAAGCCTTCCTCTTCTCATTGATACCTTTGCCCTTTAATTTTTGATAAATCTCTTTGTAAAATTCTCTGGCGCTCGTTTTTTATGAGGATATTCGGTTTAATGAAGTAATCACAAATGACCATTACAAGACTGATTAGGTCACACTGGATTTTTACCGTGTGGAAGAAGCAAATTGGCTAATTTATAATTTTGTCAATTCCTCTTTCTTAGTGAAATTAATTTACAGCACGCACCAGTACTCAGAAAGAAGAAAGAAAACAATGTCGTTGAGGTGTTATCCAAACTGTTGAAAAAATTAATTTTACCGAGATGATTTCTCTTTAAAAGATTATTATTCTTAAGTTGAGTAGTACATATTTCATTTCATTTATGTATTCATAAAAAACGAAACAAGAGCGATAATACGTAAAAGGTAGATAAGTATAAGTACTTACTTGGGCATTCTTTGACGCCTTCATCTGATCCGTCTTCACAATCGTCGTCACCGTCGCAGACGTAGGATATCGGGATGCATTTTTTGTTGGCACAAGCAAACTGTCTTATCGAACAAACAACAGCATCTGTAAGAAAAATCAACCTTTTGAATTATAATACAAACTAGCAACAAATCATGGAGTCTGACAGAGAAATATGGCGCGTCTGCTGTAATTACGTTACGACTCCATTTTTTTTCCTAATAAGTTAACACGAAAGCTTTAGATAATCTCCTATTTTTATATCTATAAATTGGAATAAGATTATTTACAAAATGCAAAAGTTTTGAATGAGAATACCTTAAACACAAATACAACACAAAATTGTTTGCTAGACAGATTTGTATTGGTCACAGCCACCAAATACTAAGTTATTGCTTCGGTTGTCGTTTCGCTACCCTCATATATTTCAAACTGTGTAGAACAGCTTAGAATTTGAATTAAGCCAAGAATCGAAAAATCGTGATTGGGTAGAAAGCCAAAAATTACACAGAATATGTATTCCAGGTGACAAACTAATTAAAAACCATAATTAAGTACGTCAATCAAAAAAGCTATTAATTTTATCCAGATCGTGAGTTAAATGCAAATTAGGAAGATTTTATGAAATAACATTGTTCACTGCAATGAGTTTATGCTGCGTTACACAGCTCCAGACAATCTATTTAGAAAATTTCATTTTAAAACTGACTGGTTGTCACTGAACTGTGATTTTTTTATGTCAATGACACATCGGCCTTTTCCTGTATACCTATACCTTGACAGAGTCAGGTTTGACCTTTGGTATTTTAGTCTCGTCGCGTACAATGAATATATTTATTTAACAAAAAGCAGAAGTTCTAATTCTTACTTGGAGTAACATTTTTTGACCAAATTCTGTTATAAAGACCAAATAACCGCCTTTAATCCTGACTTAAAACCATAACAACAATTCTTGTAACAATCGCTGCTAGGAGTTTAAATCAAGATTAAACGCGATTATTTTTTTATAAAACTCAGCCTTAGTGCTTAAAAATGGTTTCGGTTTTAATGTAAGTAAATAAGAATGATGTATTTCTTTCTTTGTAAATTTGATCAAGTAACGCCCAATTGAGTATAAACCACAACGCTCAGTAATCACAATAAAACTCAAAAACCGATTATTTCAATTGATTTAGAATTTGTTCCAATAAAACCAGAAAAACCGGTTCGATTAACCCGTTAATTATAATTGATTGCATTAAAAATCTTACTTTACAAAGTGCCTCACTTGAATTTATCCAGATGTTCGAAAAGAGCGTCTTTACATATATTTGAACTCAATCCTTCTAAAGATCAAACAATTTTGTAGCCCAGTGCATCATAAGAAATTTGTACACTGGTTCATACAAACATCAGTATTTCTCCTTTTGAATATTCTTCTTTCATTCAATTACCGTAAAAATACACAAACGTTTGCTTGTCCTTAAGTAATTTTTTTGATCTACAAAAATATCGCTCAGACTGAGACAACATTCATGTTGATTTTTGGTAACACAGATAAAAAAGTGGCATTAGAATAAAAATTAAATTTTCGTCTTTGCTATTCGTCAGGGAGCAAGTTTGTAAGCTAGGTTGGGTTTTAGAGGGTGAATTAGCTGCAACTCTGAGGCTAAAACCACATCACCGGTAAGGAAACAGTCCACATAAATCACAGTCATTGCAGTAGTGTATCAAATCGTGATCTGTGGACGTCCTTTAAGCCTTTTTATAAGTTCCAACTGTTGAGTAATTTAAGTATTCGACCAGTATCAAATAAAAAAGCAGATGAACCGAATCGTTCGAAGAAGAAAAAACAAGGAACATAGGCTAAAAAAACTCGTTAGGGGAATTCAGCTTTTGATTAAAATCATCGTTCAAACTTTCCTGTGACAGATTCGATTTGGCGGTGTGAGTTAATTTATTGTATATTTTGCTCCAGCGTATTAAAATTTTTATGTTTCTTATTAGCAAGACGCTCTTTTCCTGGATCGATGAAGTGTCTCAAACCCAGAACTGAGATGAGTTCGTATGAAAAAATTTAAACTGGAATAGCCTCAGTCTTATTATCGATCGTGTAAAGTTGCGGTTTGCACCATTCTCTTCCCGCCGTCAACTTTCATCAATTGACAATAGACTCAAAAAGTGTATTAAAACTGCTTTGAAAGTCATTCCAATTTCAAAGAGCGAAGAAAACCTTAATTTTATCTTATCGACAACAAAAAAATTGGATTCATCAAGTGATGGATTGGCAGGCTCCATTACAATACTACACCGCTTCTACAAAATGCCATTTCGTTGCCTTAGACGTCTCCTAACAAATTCAGTTAAGTACACATTAAGCTCTATGTCAGATTTCTGATAATTAAATATCGGCAATTCGTAAAAAATATAAATAAGGCCCAATTTCTGGTAGAACGAAAAAAATTTAACCGGGCCTTAGCGTATTAATTCAAAAACAGGTTTTTGATTTTTATAGTTCTCCCATAAACCGGTTTTCAAACCGGTTCTGGCACCTCAAACCGGTTTTAAAAATCCAGAAATCAAGAAAAATACACGATACCCGAACAATATTTATTCAATTGCATGATAAACAATTATAGTAATTTGGTGCAAACTAACAATATTGTGCATTACGAGATGTTTGACACAACTTCACCCTCCAGAAGAAATAATCCAACCCTCAAAATTATCGCTTATTCAGTTGCAAATTTCTGCAATCGTTTGCATAATAATTTCGTATTTGAAAAAACAAATTTTGTAAAAACGTAAAAAATAGTGAATAGAACCAACATTCATACAGTGCTACATTGTTAAATACCTTCGTTTGGGGTAAATAAATATAATACTGTTTTGCTGTTTTGAAATATACGTCAATGTTATTTCTTCGAAACCCCACTGGTGTCATTGTTTTCAAACTTCTCTTTATTGGATAAAACAACCTTATTAAATTGCAGTATGCTATGAAAATATAACACCACCATCAATCAATTGGCGGGAAATTCGCGTCGCGTGAAATCACGTGTCAAATTCGCATATCTCGTTTTTTTTTTTGGTTGAAATATGCATAAAAATTAAACAAAAGTTTCATTTACGTCAAAATCTGACTATCATCGCTTTAGTTGAGACCTGCGCTAAAAAACACCTACAAGAAAAATCGCAAAAATGGGAAAGCATTTTTAATAAAATTAAACGTAATAGAATCGATGGTTGAAAATGACTTAATTTAATCTAAAATTTAATAAAGTTCACACAGAATGCTCATACTCTAAGCCGAATTTCACCGATAGACTTGGCATCAAATTGAGATGAAAATGAGCTGAGTTTTAAAATTGCATATAGTCGACAAGCAGCTTGTTGAGCACAGCACATATTTTGACGCTAAATCACAAATAAATATTGTTTGCTTAAAATAATTGATTTTTAAACCGAAAACTCACATTGCAAACATAGCATTTTTGTAGGTTCAGCTATTGATTTTTATATTTCATTCGCGAATAAAATATTGATTTAAAGACACTCGAATTTGAAAGCTTTCCATAAATTTGCATGATATTAGGGGTTGTCAAATTGCATAAATACTGAGGAGTCAGGAAAAACGTGATTCAAAGCGCAGACGATAAAATTACTTAAAAATAGTATTTTTTCGAGATCTACTGTTACCTCAATTATTTTATGTTATAAATTATCAAACAATGTAGCATTCAGTTGAAATCTGTGAAAGCACGCAGGGGTAAAAGAATGCGGTTTGGACAGATCAATAGAGGCAACACGTATGAAACGCAGCATTTAAAATAACTTGTAACCGATAATGGACAAATTACTTTAAACGCCCATTATAGAAAATTTAAATATAAATTTCGAATTAAGAACGCTTATTACAGCAAAACCTCAATTTTTCCTAGTTATTGCGATTCAAAGAATCCAATAATTACAGTTCCTTTGTAAAAGTTCTTTTTAATGAATTAGTTGATTTATATTATAGTCATTTTATTTATGACAACTCCCAAAAGAATACTTTGCGTTCCCTCTTCACTTTAATCTTCGTCAATTCCAACAGGAAATATGTCTTTATCATTTTGCAAAAACAAGTTTGTTTTAAAATAATTTTATTAAAATCTCAGAAATATCCATATTTATTCTAATTGTTAGAATTTAATAACGTGTTGTCTTAATGCAATTACGTAAAATTTTAATAAAAGCATCTTTTTTGTAAAGGTAGAATTTTATCACAATAATAATTCCAAGCTCGCTCTTATTAATATTCCGACATTCCGAATATCCATAATAATGAAGGAAAAAGGGTCAAGTATTTCGGTTTGAAGTGTTTGTGAGAGCGTAATTTCAACAGTAAAACACGTTGAAACTATTCCTCATGATAATGACTTCTGGAATTTTAAACCTTGACTAAGATTTTAAGTGAACACAATCAAACCAAGAATTAAATTAATGTTTATTATTCTGATTATATTTTTTCATCTAAATTAAGAAATTTCAAACCACATCAAACACTATAACTACAAAAATAAAGCGGTTTCAGGACGTTCGATAATTATTTCAGTCAAGCTTAAAATATGTGTAAGGTTCAAAGAGCGTGCGAATATTAAAAATAAACATACAAAAATACCTTGGATAAATAGCAAAAATTGTTTTTCCAATAACCAATTCGCTATTCGCCAAGTCAAACGCAATTTACTTTTATTTGAAACCAATAAAGTTCGCCGATTCTCCGAATTATATTTTAATACAAATATAAAATATGCAATTGTCAAAATCAACAAGAACCTTTATAATGCCTATTAAAAGGAAACTGCAATGTCAATTTATATCGGAGACTTTATGTCGTTATTACAGCCTTCAACAAAGGTTCTCTGTTTAAGACTTTCTTTTACGGCAACGTTTGTGAAATGGTTTCAATAACAACCCCAAATGACAAACAAATTGTGACCACAGTTATTTTTCATTTAGAAATAAACTCCATCTCTAGTTAAAAATCTATAAATAACCGAAAATATCATATTTCACTCTTATTACAATTTTTATTGTTGCTAATAAAACAAACGCTGTGCGAAAATTAATTACATCAAGTT